GCATGATTGGATGAGGATGAGTACTTCCTTTTTCATCAGTAAATAGATGAAAGAGGAAGGTTTCATCATCTACAGCCTTCAGATTCTTGCTCTTAATAGAGAGTCCTTTTTATAGTCCAATTAAAAGAGGGGAGACAGGGTGGGTTTGGATGCAGGCTGTGTGCTAATGTGAGGTTTGAAAAGTGTGGTGGGGGTAGCCAAAGCTTATTCCTGAAGTGGGACTGATAGGAAAATGTGGGAAATACCTTCAGGAGCTTTTACATGCTGGAATTTCTGTCATTACAACCCCCYAAACACACACAGCTTCTTGACCTCAGCTTAACTGCTGCTGCTAGGATTAGCCCAGGGAAAGGTTTAGAAATACATTCTCTGTGTTTTATAATGGTGATGTCAGAGCTCACCCGCACACTAAGCTGGATGTAAAGCTGCTCAGGAAAAATCTGAGCTTGGAATCTTTCCAGAGGAAGGAGCTAGCAGGGCTGTGTGAACACTGAGAACTAAACACATTGGCCACCAAGAAGGTGTTTTGGCACAGAAAGCTCAGCAGAAAGCCTGCTTGTAGTGGAAAGATAAAAGCATCTGCAGCTGGAGGCGTGTTCCCCTTCCAGATGTGGCTGGTGAGGGCTGGGCACGCATTTGGGACAGGCTGGTGTTGGGTTGTCGGGGGATGGAGTGTTTGGGRTGCAGAGGGCCATTATGAGCTGATGGGCTCACAGAGGTGTCTGGTGGCAAGGGGGAAGCTGGAACCAGTCCTGTGTTGGTCCAGGCTGCTTGTGAGCCCTGAGTTGAGACTGGCTCAAGGAGCAGCTGTGGTTTCTTCTGGCCTTCAGAAAGTGCTTGGGACCAGAGAAAGGCACAACTCTCACTGCAAGGAAATGGCAGGGGTGCGTGGAGGTGGTGTCCAAGCAGCAGAGTGAAACTCTGTTCCTCCCTAGACTGCCATACTGAGATATATTGCCACTCACAGCTTTTTCTTGGCCCCTCTGTGTTTAACCTGGTGCTCATGGCCTTTCAGAAATGCCCCTGTGTGATTTGCACCTGCACACCACCTCCCTAGCAGGGTTGGCAGGGCTTTTTCCTATTGGCATGTGCTTGTGGTTGGGAAACTGAGGCAGAGATGTAGCAGATTTCCCTTTCTTTATGCCCCCTGAGGTACCAGCCTGCCCATCGATGGTGGCCAATGTGGTCTCTGAAGTTGTGGCTCAGGGATGAGCAGCAGCTCCTGCAGCACCAAGCAGAGGAGTGAGCTGACAGCAGACAGAGCTGGCTGATGGGCTTGTGACACGCTGCTGTGGGGGACCCTGCAGAGTGGCTCTCCCCAGGTCACCTCTGCTGGCCAGGCTTGCACTGTTTGGTTGTTCTCTAATGGGCCTCGTGCTCTTGGGCAGAGCTGGCAAATATGTCCTCTCTGTAACACTACCTTCTCTTCTGTTTAGCTAAAATTTAGCTTTGGCATCCTGAAAGCTTCTTAACAGGATCATTTAGTGCTGTTTTTTATCTGCTAACCTGGTAGGTGATGTTTCCATGGTACGGGCAGCAGTTTTATGGGGGGAGAAGGCTCCTTTTTACTTGGTTGCTGCTCCTTGACTCTGTGGGAGCTGGTGTTAAGAAAGCCTCCCCTTTGGCTTCAAGGTGATTGAAGTGTGTTTGTGTGTTGTTTTCTGGGGCATGAAAGAGTCATGAGGTTTAGCAACATTTCAGCTCTCCTTTCCTGCAGTGGCTGTGGAGTGTTTGCTTGCCTTCCTGTCTTGGCCAAAGAGTCATTGCACAGAAACCTCTGGTGCAATGCTCTTTCCTGATGGCTTGATGTGAAGAGCTGCCTTGCAGGTGGCTTCATGCACTAATTTTCCCTGTCTTTGTGCTTCCCTGGTGTGGATAAGTTGCCCTAACTCACGCCTGTGCTGCCCCTGTGCTTGGCTTCTCTTCTAGAGATKTGGCCTCTTGTTTTCTCCCTTGTCTTTCTGTATTTGCCATTTCCCCTTTTGTRTCTGGCTAGGAGACCAAGGGTCTGAGAGAGACCCTCTCCTTCACCAGAGGGAGTAGAGAAAATGGTCTTGGTTGGGGTTTCAGCTGTCAGTCAATTTACATATCATTGGTTTGCCAYTGAAATTGGTTGGATTCTTCTCCCCTGCTTGGGAAAGAGGAAAGGAAATACTCACTGTCTGATCAGTAGGGGAACATGGGGGCTGAGTGAGGCATTTCTAACCAAAATATGGGTGAGGGATCAAGGCCAAGAAATGGTCGTCTATCTGAAGTCTATGAACAACAGTTACATCTTTGTCTTCTTCCTCCCCCTTCAGATCACGGACAGAACTGAGTCRCTGAACCGCTCGATACAGAAAAGGTATTTCCAGGGTTGGTCTCAGAGTAAAGCGGGTCGCTTCCTGCAAATGGAGATGGTCAGCGGGTGCTGCTGGGGGAAGGGTGGGAATGGCAGGCTGCCTGTGGCCCTCAAAGTCCTCCCTTCTGCCTGAGGCRCTGGGGGAGCTCCTGAATCCTCCTCTCTGTTGTGCAGTAACAGCATAAAGAAGAGTCAGCCTCCCCTGCCCGTGTCCAAGATTGATGACAGGCTGGAGCAGTACACACAGGCCATTGAGGTGGGTTGCTGTGTTGTCTCTGCCCCCACCCTGCAAGGAGCCCTCCTTGCTGATATTGCCCTCCCACCGCTCCTCTTAGCCTTGCCGCCTGTGAGGTGACAACTAAATTGTCTTCCCTTGGATGGGAGCACTCCTCACCCCTGTCTGTGTCTCCCTCCTTATCATAAAGTAGGTTTCTTTAGCAACCTGTCCCATCCTTGTATCCTCATGTTCTCTGCCTAAAGAATGGGAGTATCTGACAGGAGCTGGTAGGACTCTATAAATCTCCTTTTACAGCCCCTGCTCTCCAAGGACCCTCCAGTTACAGAGGTTGAAAACAATCAAGAGACACACTCTGATGGCGAACTGTCTCCATTTCTTTTCCAGACCTCCACAAAGGCTCCAAAATCTGGCCGGCAGCCCTCTCTTGACCTTCCCAGCATGAGCATGATGGTAGCCAGCACAAAAAGCCTCTGGGAGACCGGGGAGGTCACAGCTCAATCTGCTGTGAAGCCCTCAGCCTGCAAGGTGCGTCCCTTGGAGAGCTTGGCTTGCTCGTGCTGGAGGCAGGAGCTGGCCCCTGGGCACCATGTGCATTATCCTTGCTTATCCTGTTGGTACCTCTTGTTTGTGGGGCCTACAAGCTCCACAGCCATCTGTATTAGAGATCTTCCATTATGTTGTAAGGCCTTGTACCTTGGAGATGGTTCTGTGGTGGTGCATGTAGGAAAACCTCTGTGAGGCTGGCTGAGGCTCTGATTTGAGATGGGAATAAAATCAGCTGGTGGGGAGAATGTCRCCTGCAGGGGCTTGGGCTGAGCTCCAGTTGTCAAGCATGAAGTTATATCTCGTACATCTCGTACCAAGGTGATTAATCTTGTGAACTCAGAGAATATTATGTATTGCTCTCAGCGATTTCACTTTCTGGTTGTTGTGGGTGGGGCTGGTTCTGTAGCATGTTGGTTGCATATCTGTGTCCATGGGAGCAGAATTCCTTACAGTAGAGAAGCCTCGATGTTAACAKTTCCTAAATAGTTAACAAACTTAAGAAAATAAACATTTTGGATGTAATTCAGACCCTTGTGGAAGAGAGTGATAGGAAAACATAGGATACACTGGGAACAGGAAGATRTTTTCACAGTCATGGCTTTTAGCTGCAGCTGTTACAGGTCAGATGATGTGATATTTTAAATTAAATAAAGGAAGTCAGATGTGTGGGTTGGAAATGTATGTGAACAAAGATGCATTCAGCAGCATTAGCAGTGAAGGGTAATGGGAACATAATTTTTTCAGGATATCGTGGCTGGAGACATTGTGGGCAAAAGAAGCCTTTGGGAACAGAAGGGCACTCCCAAACCCGAGAGCAGTATCAAGGTGAGTTAGCATCTGTGTGTATGAGAGCATTCATTCTGTTGGCAGAGAAAAGGGCTGCTGGCTGGGCTGAATGTGTTATGAAGATGATGTTCTATAGGGACAAGAGCTGCCTGTATCTGTTGCTGCAAATGCACACTTAGGAGCTCTTCCTGACAGCGAGCTGCTTTTGGCTCAGCTCTGGTGAGAATGGGGGCAAAAATACTTWTATATCCAGTAATGCTGAAGGGTCTCTTGAATAGCATGTTGTTCTCAGCCCATGAGTTAGGAGTCCCAGCCTTCTAGGCTCAAATGGAACTGCAAATCTGAGTAACTTTGCTCTGGTTATGCTTTTTTTAGCATTGAGAGTAAACAAAATGTGCTAAACTAAGTGAACTGAACCTAAGACAGTATCACTTGCAGATGGATCTGGGGTTTTATGGGAATGTTTGTGGAAATGTCTTTTAAAATGCAGCAAGCAGCTACTGCTCAAACTGTCTGTGCTGGGAGAGGAAGATCAAAGATCAAAGTATCTCGTCAGTTCTTGTGTTGAAACTGCCAATATCTGGTAAATCAGTCTCTTACCATGGATAAAAACAACCTTGGGGGTCTGGGCTCTTAGATGAGCCCTCCCTCACAATGCCTGTGTTGCATCTTTTTCCTGTTGCATATCCTGTGCTTGTTGTGTTACCTGTCCTTATGGAAAGTGGTCATGGATCTGTGCAGAGAGTTTGTGTGGAAGGGGCGAGAAGGGAGTGCAGAACAGGCTGTTTCCAAGCTCTCTGGGATTAAAGGCAACTGCATCATGTGCTCCTCTGGCTTCAGTTATTTGATTTTTGACTGCCTGTTTAACAGAGAAAAATGCTAACTTTGGCTCTTTCTTTGTCTCCTGTTCAGTCCGTTCCTTCTGGCAAAAAGTAYAAGTTCGTTGCAACAGGCCATGGCCAGTACAAGAAGGTGTTGATAGATGATGCTGCAGAGCAATAGTGTATCTGGAGAACTCATTAACCAGGTAGGTGGGATCTGTACGGTGTATGGAGCTCCTGGGCTGTTGTGGTGGGGTGCTGGGGCTGTTTCTGCCAGCAGCACTCGGGGTGAGTTGGAAGGTGCTGTATGGGAACAGCTGGAGCTTTGCTTCTGGGCTGGAAYGGAGGGGGTGCATAGCAGGGGTTTGTTTTGGTCTCTGCCTTTCTGCTGCTGCTGGGGAGCTGGACACCTCAGTTGTTTAAATCTGCAGGGTAAGCCCCTGAGCTGCTGCTGTTTGGGTGAAGATGTGTTTGCCTTTGCTAGTTCAAAGGAACAGCCTCTCTCTGCCCTCTTTCCTTATGCTCTCTTAAGTTGCAAGGAGCAGATAGCTGAAGGTCATTCTGGCTGAGCATGGGGGCCGATGTACTTCTGAAATTCAAATGTTCCCGGGGTCCAATTCCCAGATTTACTGAATTAATCAGGGAGAAAACTTCTAATGACTTCAGTAACCTCTTGGAACCGGTCTTTATAAGGATGTAGCAKGAAGGATGTGAACATCTGCTGTGCTGGGTAGACCAACAGAGCAGAAAGGACTGTTCTCCGATGTGCAGCAAGGGGAAGGCAGAGCTGGGCCACTGCCTCTGTGCTCTCTGAAATAGTCTTTGGATCTCATGCTCCTGTTGTGCTTGTGCTCATAGATATCCTGGTGTTATCTTGAGTGGATGATAGGGGAGGGTGGCAATAAGGMGGAATGGTGTAGAGGGGGGTGATAACTGGTTGGATTCAACTGGGCAGCATCTGGCACAATGAGTGGAGAGGAAGTTGAGGGTGAAAACAAGCTCATTTTCTTATTTTCCTGCTATAAAAAAGAAGCTTTATTTCATTGCCAAGGTTAAAATAGCTCTGCCTGCTACAAAACACCTTTTGTTTCTGAATTCTTTTGGGGCCTGTGTTCCTTCTTTTCCCTCCCCCCCACCTTCAAGGAGCTGGCTTCTGAGTGTTGCATATTGTTTGTTTAGGTCTGTTTTTTCCTTTTGTAGTGCCCATTTAGAGGAGATGCCCTTCTGAATGCTGCTTTGAAATGGTTATCAGTACAAGCCCAAGACTGCCCAAAGCCATGTTTTTAGCCCATAGAACTTGTGTCCTCAGCTCGCTTCTCTCCCTCTGACTTTCAGAAACCTATTGTAAGGTCTCTCTTTTGATCAGTCTTCTTTTTCCTGAAGTCTGTTTCAGTGCACCAGGTGGGAACCTACTGAGCTTCAGTTTTCTACAGCAAACAGGTTTTGCTGTGTTGTCAGCAGGTTTTGTTTGCCCTACCCAAGTTCCTCTGAGCAGCTCAATTGAAAGTGCCTTTGGCTCTGGTCTTTGTCCAGCATCCTTTTTTGAAAGGCAGGCACTGTCCTGGGGTGTCCTCTAGGATCCACCCAGCACTCCAAACAGCCATGGCACAATGCTGTTCCCCTATGGGTTCATTCACATGTTTGGGGTTTTCTTGTTACTGTGAATATCAGAATGACTGTGATCGCTGAAGGATCTCGGCTTATTTTTTTGCTGTCTGTTTTGTGTGCCGTGAGCTCCCTCTGCACCCCCTGGACTACATGTATCCTTTTCCCCTGCCACTGGATCGCTCTCGTGGCCTTTTTGCTCCCAAACCCTTCTGGCTCACCCCTGTCACTTGCTTTACACCACYTTATCAGCTTTCTTTCTAGTTGCTTAAACACAGGTGTGGTTTTTGCTCCTCCCCTCCATTCCTGAGCTGCAGGACCTTGCTGCAGGCTGTGGAGCAAGGGCTGTTCTGGAAGTGTCAATTTGGGCTCTTGGCAGCTGCCTGATGCTGTTTGGCACTGACAAATAACCAAACTGTGCCCAGARGTGTTCACCTTCTCTTAATGACTTCCAGTGCACAGCCATGGGTGGAAATCTGTTGCCTCCTTGGGTGTGTCCCCTTCTTTGTGATGCTCTCATGTCAGGGTCGTGCCACTGTGTGTCTCTGCCCTTTGCTTTTGGGGTAAAAAGACTGAACCATGCACTCTGACTTTCTCTCTGCTTCCTTCTGCTTGTGTGAATTGCTCTCCCCAGTGGCATTTCTCCATCCTTCATCCACGTGCAGTGGGGCTGGGGTGTGGATTGCAGCCTGGTTGGGTGCCTGGCAGATCCAAAACCTAAGCCTGAGATGAGGGTTGCTGGTTTGTCCTTGCTGCAGGAGAAAAGCTGCTTTACAGCACAAGCACTCCTTAAACACCTTCTCTGGCCAGATTCACTCAGCCTCCCCARTGTAATCGATGTTGGCTGTGCTGCTTCATGCTAATACTGGGCTCTTGTGCATGCAGACCTCTGTGCAGAGGTTTCCATCCTGCAGTAAGGTGCCATTTATCACTCYATGGTAAGGCCATCTTTATCTGCATTACGTGTTTTTTTTGCTGCACTCTTTAAATTTTTATGTTTGTGCTGCTTACGAGGATCTTTTATCTGTAGCCTTCTCTCACAGCAATGTTAAATTATCCTGCAGAGGCTTACCTAGGATCCACTTGTGATTGCTAGCAAATTTCCAAGCTCTTTTTACCTTTTTCTTTGAAAACTGAGGGTTTGATGGATTCCACACTTGAGATAATTAGGTTATTTTGCCTACTCATTTTTYTGCCCTCTCACTAGGGAAGGGGTTACAAAATAGAGATAAGGCCAGCAAAGTGAAAACTTTAAGTGAAGGTTTGTTAACTGAACTGCTCTCATAGCATCACTGCAAAATAGGAAGATTTCAAAAAAGGCAAAAAGAGGCTCTTTGTTTTGTTTCTAAGCCTGCGTTTGCAGTTTGGCTTGAGGAAATTTTGGTCAATTCCATATCCTCTGCACATGAAAGAGGAAACTCTCTACACAACCCTTTATATTCTATTTGGACTAAACATGGCAATCCTATATTAGCTGTGTAGGAACACCCCAGCATATGACTGAGTCCCTTGTGAAACAGAAATAGTTGATCTCCAAGCTTTCAGGGTTACAAGCTTCCAAGCCTGCTGGCAGTGGAAGTGCAGAGGGTGACTGTAATACTGGAAAGCACAGTTGTCTCTGTGGATAGGCAGAGTGGGGGATTTTCCTTTAAATACCCTTTTTTGCAGGGCACCAGGGACAAGCAGGAATGCAACTGTCACGATGTTTGCCCTGAGAATTAGACTACATGAGGTTGGCAGAACCCCTCAGAAACCAGCACCTTGTTAAATACAGAATTGGCTMTCTCCATGCTAAAGCAGTTGTGGAAAAAACATGGTAAAATACATAACAGAACTTGATAACTGAAACAAAATTATCTTTCTGTGCATTATTATTTAGTAGACTGGCCTAGGAGAATGTCAAATGATGCCTGTTTTGGTAGGCAGAGGAACTGCTTTGTGGGAGCRGGATATATCTTATCCTATCTCTTGTCTGAGCCTTGCATGAAAGGATGAGTTTCCATTTTGTTCTCAGCAAATGGAGATTTCAGTAGAGAAGATAGTTTATATGTATCCTCTTTGAGTTTGGTTTCTAAGGCTCCCCAGAGATATGGAGCAACCCAGATTCCTTCAYCTCATCTGCAACTGCTTCTGTTTCTAGGATCTATCTTTGTCTTCGATAAATGCAACAAAAAAAACCCTCAGATTCCATTATCCTCCTCTAAACCAGTCTCTTTTTTCTGTAGGCAGCTCATCCTCTTCACTGTGTGCCTTCCTCCCTTCATTCTGTTACTGCAYCCAGTGATTGTTGTTGACTCTTTTTAAAACAAGTGCATGTTTGTTTTCCCATGACCTGTGGATGTGGCAGTTATGCATTTAAGCTGTTAAACCTATGGAGAGATCCCTTAAACTTGCAGCATGGGGCTGCTGGCTCAGAGGGGTTTTGTTTCATTTCCTTTTTTCCTTATGCTTGTCTCCACTGGGCARTAAACTTGGTCACAGGTGCCCTGCAGGAACCTCCAGAGGTGTGGAGCTGCCTGGCCTCAGTTGACTGACCATCCTGATGCCGTTCTGTTAAAGTTCTTGGAGTGCTCCTCGGCCCCTTTGGGTCGGAAGAGGCTCAGCTCAAACATGGTGCTCATCTTTGTCATGGGTTTGGCAGCCAGTTCCTTCAGTTTCCGGGCGTCAAAACGTGGCTTGTGTAGAAGGATGGGCAAACGGCGGGGAAGAGAGAAGCTTTCTTGCTTCCGTGRCAGCTTCTCTTCTGCTTGCTGCTTCCTCTCCTTGGGGAGTGTCACCTGGTATAAAATGGCATCCCACATTCTCATGGCTCTTGATTTAACCAGCAGGCAGTCTTGCTTGACGACTGCTTGAGCAGTGTCCTCTTTATTCCCTTCCTCCTGTCCTGCCTTTTCTGGCTTGGACTCTGGGAAGCTGGTGGCTTCTGGCTGCACCATCAAGTGCTTCTTGAGGCGATGCCAGCCGCTGGCACCRCTTCCAGGAGGTTTTGCTGCTTCTCCTGACGATGGTGCCGGCTCTGCCTTGGGGGGATGGCTGGTGTTGGGTGAGCTGGGGGTCAGCTGGGGTTTGGTGTTGTGTTCTGCCATGGTGTCTGTGGAGGTGGAGCTGCTACCAGCAGCYTGTGCTGGAGCTGCTGTCGCTGGGTGTGCTTTCCTCCAGGGAGTGCTGGATGCCAATGGTTTTTGGATGTCTCTGTCTTGCTTGGGTAATTCAGGAGCTGTCTCTGATGCAGATTTTTTGGTGTCACTTCCATGGGTTGTAGGCTTATTGGTGTGGGCATCAGAGGTGCTGGGCGTTTCAGTAGGAGCAGGCTTGGGAGCTTGATCAGGAGGCTCTGTCTCCGCAGCAGGAAGGAAGGGAGGTTCCAGCAAGGGTGCCGTGACCTTGCTGTCTTTAAGTGAGGTGCGTGTCTGCTCTGGAGATGGTTCAGAGCTGTTTATTTGAGGTGCTGGGGAAGAAGGCCTTTTGTCTTCGTGGCTGACAGTTCCTTGGGTCRGGTTTGGTGTGGGAGTCTTAGCCCTGGGTGGTTTGACACTGTGGAAGTGAGCGTTCACCTTGGTGACATAGGTAACCTCTGGCATCCCTTCTTGACTGGGTGTACTGGAAGGAGGAGGCTGGGGGAAAATGGATACTGAAGGGTTGGATGGAGAAGGAAGGTGGGAGCCCGTGCCTTCAGGCTGCTGGGGAGTCTCAGGAGCTCCTGGTTTGTGCAGCAGGGGCATGGCCGAGGAGGTTGTGAGCCTGACGTGCTCGGCGATGCGCCGCTGCTCGGTGACCTTCAGCGCAAAAGGCTTCCCCTTGCGGAAAGGGGAGGGGGCRCGGTGGGTGACGGGCCTGATGGAGAGGTGGGGTGGCAGGGGGACACAGGGGGGTGCTGTGCTTTCAGGGGGCTCTGCTGGGGTAGCGCTCTCAGCGTGCTCCTGGTCGGGGCTGGCTTCGTTCACGGGTGAAAGGCTGGAGCGGAAGGACTTGCTCTGCTCTGAGGGGAGGAGGGCGTTCTTCCTCGCTGCCTTCTTCAGCAGCCGCTGCAGCCGCAGGTTGTCCTTGCCAGGCTTTGGCAGGGTGGGAGGGGGAGAAAGGGGGTGGTGGATGGGAACAGGCTGGGTGGAGGATGATACTGTTATCAGCATTGTCATTTCCTGCAAGAAAAGACCAAGTTTAGAGTTGGTGTGGGCTTAGCCCTGGGCTCGATATTTATGCACAAGCCTTCTTGTTCCTCTCTCTAAAAGCTGTGAGCATGGAGTCAATATTGTGGGAGAAGAGCATCAGTCTTGGYTTTGTTACTCTCCTGAGGTAACCTCAGCCACTCTTAAGGGTGGGTGTGGCACGGCAAGAGATGTCCTGGGGGAAGCTGTATTGCCAAACCTGGAGCCCTTCCACTCCTGGCATTAGCCCACAATATTCAGTGAGAGCTYCTTGGGACCCCAGATGTTCGTGTCTTGGCAAGTCCTGGTGGGATTTGGAAGGAAATGTCAAGGGAAACATAGTGGGTTTGAAATTTTGAAGCTTTGAAACATCTCCAGAGGCAAAACCCAGGAATGTTTCATGGCTTTCCAAATTTTGGTTATTAATACTCTGATACAATGTTACAYAGAACAGAACAGCCATAAACTACATGTGTCATTTGAATCAAAGTCAACACTGGCCTTGATTCATTTCAGCTGGCATGAAGACTCCCCTGTGAAATGCAGAGCTTCTCCAAAGCTCTGTTTATCAGTGAGGAAGTGCTTTGTCACAGTGCTGGCTCTGGCTGGCCTTTTCTTGCTGCATGAAGCACAGGGACAACATTTTCCTCCAAGATAAAACCAAGTTTTCWCCTTCYCTTGGGAAGCTTTACCACTGCCTTGCCTTTGTCACTCATTGTTGAGTGAAGCTGAAATGGCTTGTGCTGTGGGTCAGGTCTTACCTCCCATGGCCATTGCAGACCTTTGGCCAATCCTGGGCTGCTCCTGCAGGGATTCATGGCTGCTTTTCCTGTTCTGTTTTGCTAACTCATCGCCACCTCTTTTCTGGTGAGCCCTGGTCAGTGGAGCTCAGTGATTGCTGAGCACCGTGGAGCTGAGGGTCTGTGTTGGGGATAGCAGGATTGAACTAGTCTCAGTTCTCTCTGGAGTTCTCTTCCTGAGCAAGCTGTGGAGCTCCAAAGAGCCTCTGACCTGCAGTGACTCTTTGGCAGCCCCAGGAAGGAAATCTGACTCTATCCKGTCTCTTGCTCACCGCAGAGTTGCTGAGTTTTGCTATGAAATGAGGCGTAAATCACTGAGCCCCTTAATCCTGGTGCTGGATGCAACTGAGCATCCTGAAAGCAGGAAGAGGAGGGCAGGGTGATGTCAGGCTTGCCCAGGGGGGCTCTTTATTTCATGGCTTGTGCTCCCTTCCTGGTGGCTCCCAGCCTGCTCTGGTTAGTGTGGGTGTGTAACATGATACCTACCGTGCGGGGAAAACCATCCTGAACAGAACTCTCCAAAGTGCACGACAGCTATTTGTGCTCGAGTGCCCAGGGCTGGCTCTGGGCTTGCAGTGCTGCTGTCAGCATTGGGCTGGGAAGGGGATCCACACCCAGCAGGCAGGTGGGGTGTCTGCCAAAACTTGTTGGGGATGGGGGGAGAAGGATGACTTCTTTTTTTAAAAGGCAGCAGTAAACAAAAGCACTGAAGAGGTGGCATGTTGAGCTCAAAAGCTTCAAGGTCAAGCCCTCACCATGGTGGATGAGCTGTCCTCCAGAACAGAGGTGGTGGGCAGGGTATAGGCAGTGCCAAGCAAGTGCTGCACTCAGTACCAGAGAGACATGGATCTGAGGAGGATCACAAAAATTATCAGAGGGATGGAATGCTTCTGTGAGGACAGACTTGAGAGTTAGAGTTGTTYAGCCTGGAAAAGAGAGGACCATGAGGACACTTTAYCTGTCCYCATCTTTCTTACAAGTCCTGKTTACAAGTTAAAARGCCACAATRTTCTAGTAGGGTGTGTTGTAATRGGACAAAGGATAAAGGTTTGAAAKGAAAAGAGGGTAGATTCAGGCTAGATATAAGGAAGAARTTTTCTTATGCTGAGGGTGGTGAAACACTGGAACAGGTTTTGTAGGGAGGTGGTGCATGGAAACATTCCAGGTCAGGCTGGGTGGGGGTCTGAGCAGCCTGATTTAGTTGCAGATGTCCCTGCTYGTTGCATGGGTGTTGGATTAGGTGACCTTTAAAGGTCCCTTTCAACTAAAGGTCCCATTCAAGCTATTTTATCATTCCATGATTTASTTCAGCTGTAGGCATGAGAGACCTTCTGTTTCTGTGAGGGGGCTTGGAGGGGATTTGTGTCAGCTGGGGGWGACAACTGTTGGGCATTCCCAGTGTCTTATCAGCTTCATTCCTTAGGTACAGGGCTGTGATTAGGATTTGTCTCTTACAGTATCTCCTGGAATAAAGCAAGTCTGCACTGTCCCCAAAAAAGGCTGAGAGCCCAATCCTTTATCATATACCTGCTTTCCTCCCCAACCTCATGGGTATCTTAGATTCTCCTGGATCAGAAAGCCAAAATGTCTCAGTTGAAGGGACATGTATGTACTTTTGTGTGACWGTACTCTCTTTGTTTGTGTAGGAATTGGTAATTGCTTATGAGTTTTTTTGTGCCTTCTTTTTTTTTTTAATCTGCTGAAGGGTGAGCAAATAAATGCAACTAATGGTAGGATTTATTGTGGAATGACTTCATCTGCTCCTGTTTAATGTGGTCCCATGGACAGCCTGTACTACAAGATGAGCTATGATCCAGCAACACTGTTAAACCAGATTTATAAGGCTGACCTGCTTCAGGCTTGTGTAGGGAATACTAAAGAGGCAGGGCAATGAACTTCCCARCTACTGAGCAGCTCTTTGAGTGTTTTCCTTGTCCTATGGACTGCTGCACTCCAGAAAAATGAAGCTTCTCACCTGAGTCAGAGAAGGATCTTGCTGCAAACAAAGCCAGATGCTACTGAGGAGGGCATGGGGGCTCCCAGAATGGAAAGTTTAATATGCACAAGGCAGGAAAATTTTCCCTCTGCTCTCAGAGTCTGAGTCTGCTTTGTGCTGTAAAACCTCAAGACTTGTTGCTCTTTCGATAATCTGTGCTCTTAAAAATTACTCTTACTGCTATCTCAGCATTCCATCTGACTGGAAACCTGCTGTGCTGTGGGTCTTGGAGACCTTATGGGTGGTAACTTCCATGGCACATGGCTGTATTGGAATCTGTGTGCTTGACTAATGGAGCAGTGAGATGCTGAGAGACAGCAAAAGGAAAGCAGYTCTTAATTTGTTTGTCTTCCCTGTCATGCATGGCTTTGAGTCTCCTTCAGAGCTTTGCATGCTCAGGAGAAATACTGCAATAAGGAASATTTGTCTTCCCCCTTGCCACCTAATGAAGCAGAAGTAAAGGGAYAGACTGACTTGTCTTACTGCCAGTGGAAAGGCTGGACCTGAAAACCCCAGGGACAGCAGGGCAAGTACTGCCTGAGAAACTTGKGTGGGTTTGTGATAAGCTAGAAGGWACTGGACMTRGAAATTGAGAGGCTTTTAAAGGGTTAAGTTTTCCTTCTGCTGGGTGAGTTTCCATGGGTGGATGGGTGCTCACCCACTCTTGGACCCTAACTGCTCTCCTGACTTGGCTCCATTTGCAGTCAGCCCCAAATTGGGAATAGTGGGGAGAGTGTCAGCAGGCAGGAGTCATTTATCAAGTGATGGAAAAGTCATCTGTGTGCTGGAGTCCCTYGGCTGCACCAGCTGTCGTGCGTGGAGCAGATGGAGAGCTGCAGGAACCCAACACCGCTGCAGATGGTCCCAAACAGAGCTGTGGCTGCTGGGGGCTGTGGGAACACTCTGCTTGAGTGGCTTTCTTGGGYTTGGGAGGAAACCTGCTAATCTCCTCCTCGGGGTGGGACACGGCGTGGCAGGAGTGCGGCCGTGACCTCTGCCGGGCATGCAGCCCTCGGCATCTCCTCTGCCATGACTATTGACACACCTTGCGTGCTTCACTTATGCCACAGCCCTAAGGGCTGCTTCACAGGGCTCTGTGAAAATGGGTGGGAGAAACCCACCTGTATTTGCTAGAGAAGATACAGCCCCTGTTCAGCCCAGGGTATTGCTCATGAGAGGCCAAATGGGATCCATAACCGTGTTGTTTTCTTCTCTTGCAGCTGAGCTTGGTCCTGGCTCAATGCAACCCTCCACGCCACTATTTCCTCTGCTCCACAGAAGATAATTGAAGGATGTTTCTCTTCTCCTGACTGCTGTCAGTTGCTTTGGGTACAGCCTGACCCCTCTTGGGGTATGTGCAATGCCCCACACTGCCTCTTGATGGATGAAAGGAACTAGATCAGCTGGCAAAACTCATCCCTGTTTAAACTTTCTATGTGACTCTTCGACTTTTTTTTTTTTTTTTT